AGAAAACCCACTCCCAAACAGTTTTAGCAACCTTACAAGAGACCATGAGGTGGTAGCCAGATTCCCCATCAGCTTTACAAAGAGCACATCTATTAGGAAGTAGACAATAGTTGGGTCTCTTTCTCTGAAGGAAGTCTAAAGTGTTGATTCTTTCCAAGAAAATTTCCCAACAAAAAAAACCAACCCGAGGAGGAATAGGCCTGCTCCAAATTTCCTTAACTAGAAAGGACAACCCCAAGGGAATAGGAGGATGAGTTAAGGTTTCAAAGAATGAAGCACAAGAAAAGGTACCAGAAATAAAAAGGGTCCAAAATCTGGCAGGGTTTGGGAAGACACCCTCAAGGGAGGCTAGCAGAGCTACCAACTATCCAAGTTTGTATCCCTAATTGCCCTACGCAGGCTAAGGTTCCATCCAAAGCCAGAAGTGGAGGCTGAAGGGACCAAGAACGAAGATATGGGTTCATTTTTCAAGTCTAAAAGAGCATACAAGGAAGGAAACTGGTCTTTCAGAGGAGAATCCCCGACCCAAATATGTTCCTAGAAATTTATTCGGTTACCAAAATTTAGACCATACCTGATCCAAGGGGAGAAAACTGGAAGCAGATTGTGGATGGATTTCCAAAGAGAAGCAGCTGAAGCCCTTGCCAAGATTCCAGGATCCCAGCCATTGTCTTCCAGCCCATGAATGCTAGCCACAATCTTAGTCCACAAATTATCCCTTTCCAAAGAGAACCTCCACAACCACTTCCCCAGTAGAGCCATATTCCTTTTCTTGAAATTACCAATCCCAAGACCTCCTAGTTTTTTACACCTAGAAACCACCTCCCAACTCACCCTATGATCTCTCTTCTCCTCTCAAGGCTCCCAGAGAAAGTTCCTTATTAATTTTTCCAAAAGAATTGAAACCTTTGAGGGGATCTTRAACACTGACAGATAGTAAACAGGTAGGTTAGCTAGGGTAGACCTAATGAGAGAGACTCTTCCACCTAAAGAGAGATAATTCCTCTTCCAGACCGTTAGCCTCTTCTCAAACCTCTCCACTACCGGAGCCCAAAAGCTAACACTCTTAGGATTATCTCCTAAAGGGAGGCCCAAATATGTCAGGGGCCAGTTCGTAATTGCACAACCTAGCTCACTTGCAAATTCCCTTAGGTCTCTTTCG